TTGGAATATCAAAAAGAACTATTTCCCTCTTCTTCTTTTTCCAGCTGTTTTACTAACCTCATTTTATTCTTTCAATAGGCTAAGAACCATAAGAAAATCCCTTATGTAATCTTAATTATCCAACTTTATTCCAAGAAATTCATAACCAGCGACTGCTGTTCTGTTACTAATCAGACTTCCCCCTAAATTTGCATACAATTCATAACAAGCAAAGGTCAAACATATAAACGTTATACAACAAAAGATTTGGTAAAGTGGAAGCCACAAAGAACTAGCTTGTACTCCTTCCGTGTCCTAACAGTTACATACTTAAACAACTTCACTTGACAATTATTTTTATGAGATATATAATATTTTATGTTACATTTAATAAACAATTCTGTTTCCACTTTCTTTTCACTTCATTTATATATATATATCATAAACCCATCCGTGTTTGTAAGGAGAACTACGCTACTTTGCAATAACTTGACATTAACTCAGTAAAAATTTGTTCGAAACTCAACTATTATAATGCAATTTGATGTTAATTCTATAATTAGTTCTTTGGAGATATCGTAAAAATTGAACAAGGGGGAGATTAGCATGGTCCCCATGCATGGATAACAACGTAGACAAATTCAGATATAGTCCAAATTCATAATTGGATGTTAACTCAATAAAAAGTAATGGAAATTAACATTTTGGAGACACAAATTAAGCTCGGACGGAGCTGGAGTCAATAAGTAAACTAACACTAAAGGCGTAGAAATAATTAAATTACGTCAAGGCTTGACTTGTAATTGGCTTCCTACACCTCCCTCTATATAAGCAAACAGCTCTTATGTTAAAGTAATCACCCCTCCGATCCTCCAGCTATTGCTAAAAAATATGGCTACTAATCCTATCACCTTGTGTCATTGGTTATTTCCCATCTTAATTCTCTTACTTCCATCAACAACGACCGATCAGTCAGACACTTATATCGTCCATATGGACGCATCAGCCATGCCAAAAGCCTTTTCAAGCCCCCATACGTGGTACTTCGCTACTCTAGCTTCTGTATTAGACAGTACCAGCGTTTCTTCGTCTAAACTCGTCTATACTTACACCAATGCCATGCATGGGTTTAGTGCTACTCTTTCCCCTTCCGAGCACGATACGATAAAAAATCTTCCGGGCTATGTTTCTTCAATGAAGGACATGGCTGTTACAATTCAGACTAGCCGCACATCGCACTTTCTTGGACTCAACTCGATGTCTGGTGCATGGCCAAAGTCACACTATGGCAAAGATGTTATTATTGGTGTAGTTGATACAGGGGTTTGGCCAGAGAGCAAAAGCTACGATGATGAGGGCATGAATGATATTCCATCAAGGTGGAAAGGATTGTGTGAAGGTGGCACTCACTTTAATACTTCTTTGTGCAACAAGAAACTCATTGGAGTGCGTTACTTCAACAAAGGCCTACTTGCTAGCGGGAAAAGTCTTGCTATGACAGTGAATTCTGCCCGTGATACAGATGGACATGGAACTCACACTTCCTCTACTGCTGCGGGAAGTCCTGTAGAGGGTGCCTCTTACTTTGGCTATGCCCCTGGCACTGCTATAGGCATAGCACCAAAGGCTCATGTGGCCATCTACAAGGCACTCTGGGATGGAGATGGTTCCTTTTCAGATATTCTAGCCGCAATGGATCGGGCAATTGCGGATGGTGTGGATGTCCTGTCCATTTCATTAGGCTCGGTTCTTCCAGTTCCACTATATGAAGATCCTATTTCTGTTGCTTCATTTGCTGCGATGGAGAAAGGCATATTTGTCTCCACTGCTGCAGGAAATGAAGGGCCTTTCTATCAATCTTTGCGCAATGAGGCACCTTGGTTTCTAACTGTTGCTGCTAGCACAGTTGACCGTGATGTTATCAGGAAATTAACTCTTGGTAATGGAGTTTCAGTCACTGGTTTATCTCTCTACCCTGGGAATTCTTCAAGGGAAATTTCTGTTATCCTTGTCAAGACTTGCTTAGATACGAAGGAATTGCAAAATGTTACAGACAAATTTGTGGTCTGCAATGACAGAGTGGCAGCAACTGTGTACCAAGTTGCAAATGTGAGATATTCGAAAGCTGCTGGTGGTATCTTCATAACAAATGACATTCAATACCTCAAAACAGATTTCCCAGCTATTTTTTTGAATTTCCAAGATGGTGATCAAGTTTTGAAGTACATCCAAAAGCGAGGATTGGACTTCCAGGCACACTAATTGGTGTCGGAACAGCGCCAGCGGTCGCGCATTTTAGCTCGAGGGGGCCATCAAAAAGGTGCCCTTCATCCTCAAACCTGACTTGATCGCTCCTGGTTACTTAAGACTAGCTTCATGGTCTCCAATATCACCAGTGAGTCCAGGGACTGAACTTTACAATATCTTCAACCTTGCTTCTGGTACATCAATGGCATGCCCACATGCTGCTGGTGTAGCTGCGCTTCTGAAAAGGGTACACCGTGAATGGGCCCTGCTGCGGTCCGATCGGCCATGATGACCACAGCAGATGAGCTGGATAACACAAAGAACCCAATTCAAGACGTTGGCCAACAGAATGCTGCTGCCACTCCTCTTGCTATGGATGCTGGCCATATCAATCCTAATAAGGCACTAGATCCTGGTCTCATCTATGATACGACACCAGAAGATTACGTTAATCTTCTTTGTGCTCTTAATTTCACATCCAAACAGATAAAAACCATCACTAGGTCCTCATCTTATACTTGCTCCAACCCATTATTGGACCTAAACTATCCATCTTTCATTGCTTATTTCAATTGGAGTAGCAGCGAGTTGGATCCTACAAGGATACAAGAATTCAAGAGGACAGTGACTAATCTAGGAGATGGTGTGTCAGAATATACAGCCAAGCTTACTGCAATGCCTGGATTTAAAGTTAGTGTTGTTCCTGAAAAATTGGTTTTCAAAGAGAAGTATGAGAAGCAAAGCTACAAGCTGAGGGTAGAATGTCCAAAACTAATGAATGATTTTCTGGTTCATGGTTCTTTAAGCTGGGTAGAAAAGGGAGAGAAACATGTGGTTAGGAGCCCCATTGTCGCCACAAATCTTAAGTTTGATCCTTTGTCAGGATAGCATTGATTACTGCATATTCACTAAGCATGTCTTTTGAGAACGTGTTATGTACTTCTCATCTGTGTGTGTAAGTATAATTCTATGATTCACAATATTGTTGCCCTGTCAGTTCGAAAATGAATTTTCAGATTAATGGATTTAAAGTTTATCTATGACGATTACTTTCGTTTATTATTCAATCTAACTAGTAGTTGATAGATTATGAATTTAGAGCATAGAAAAAGATATTTCTATTAGATGTGAGGCGAATATTTATCCAAGACGAGGCACCTATGCCCCTTGAGTATCTCTTGTTAATAAAGAAATTATCATTCAATCATGTTGAATGTAATAAAACATAAGCATGTCTTTTCAGTTTGTATCACCAGAAAAATTACATCTCTCTGAAATTATTTCAATTGAAGAGAAAACTAATGTGAATGAGTAGCCCATAATTAGGAGAAAAAAACTGCTAGTTTTGATCTGGATCAATGAAGCAGCAAAATAGACTTTGACCCCTCCAATTAATGGGCCGAACTAAACACACTGTCATCCCCTTTAATTAAATTTAACGACTCTAAGATCAGCATTAGGATTTTAGCAATGATTGATATCTACTGTTTAGGTTGATGGCAGCGGAGAGGAAAGCAGAGTGTTAAAGAAAACTATATTGATCTCTTAATTCACCTTAGACCTACAAATTCTAGAAGTTAACTCAAGACTTCAGTTCTCTTCTCCTCTCTTCTATATATGTAAAAGACTCGAGTTCGTCAACTGCATGATGCAACAGTATCCCATCACAAGCTCGGATTTTAAAGTATGATATCTCATAAATTCATCATTTATAACTGGAGGTAAGTTTTATCAGTTTTTCCTTCCTCACTGTAATGGAAAAGAATTGACAGACTACTAGACAGGCTATGTGTGTATCTTATATGCTAGTTAATTTGCTTTTATCTAATCCCTGAGTGGGATGGCCTCAAGATTTTGAGTATACATGTGGAACATAATTATTTAAAAGGAATAAGTTTTCTTGAATTATGTAATAATGTTCCATAGACATTTAAAGAGTTAAGCCGGTCAAGCTCAGCTCGGCAAGATGTACTGCAAGACCAGGCACTGGTGGAAAATATTGCTGGTAATATTCCAGCACCTGCTGCAGTTAAGAATGACTGCCTATTTGGATGTCATATTCCACAGCTATGTTTTCTCTGAGCACAACTTGGAAGTGCTAAGAGATAGAAGATCTGCTTTGCCTGTACATAAAATGTATATGGACGTGAGGATTTGCACTTAACCGGAAAATTTTTGGAAGTTATAATCCCCAATTATGAAAGAAGCTCTTAACTTCACATCCAAACAGGCAAAAGCCATCTCTAGGTCCTCCTCATAATCTTGCTCCAACCCATCGTTAGACCTAAACCATCCATCTTTCATTGGCTATTTCAACAGGAATACTAACGAGTCAGGTCCCAGGAGAATACAAGAATTTCAGAGAACAGTCACTAACGTAGGAGATGGTGTGTCAGAATATACATCCAAGGTAACTCCAACGCCTGGACTTAAAGTTAGTGGTGTCCCTGAAAAGTTGGTTTTCAAAGAAAAGTATGAAAACTGAAAAGCAAAAATCCAAAACTAGTGAATGATTTTTGGTTTCATGGTTCTTTAAGCTCGGTGGAAAAGGGAGGTAAACATGTGGTTAGGAGTCCCATTGTTGTCACAAGTCTAAAGTTTGATCCTTTGACAGGACAGAACTGATAATTCAATGATATTCCCTAACTTGGCTTCTAAGCGCATTGGATATCATATACACAATTACGAGTTAAAATTACATCATTATTACCCTGTCAGCTGGTATATATGCTAACTTCCTGATTTATGGATAAAAGATTTCTACGACCGATTAATTGAGTTTCACAATCCAACTCATCAAAGCACCTACTTAATCAATTATGAAAGAAGTACATAGGGAATTTCTAGTTTCTGTAGCACGTATCTCCAATCACAAGAAAATAAATCTGAGTGGAAATACAACATTTAAGCAGAACCTGTTAAAAAACATCGATCCAAAAACTCTCTCATGCTCTCGGCGCATGGTAGCTAAACCAACGCCGCGGTGGTCGTCAGGACGGGAGAAGGAAAACGAGGGTGTCGCCCCAGCCAAAGAAGCTACTGATTGTCTCCTTCGGAAGATCAATTGGAACTAGTATACAACAATCTGCACCATCTAAATTGCAATTGGAGAACAACACACCAGCACAATCGAGTGAGCAGAAGAATTCTAAGGAGCTCAGATCTACTTCGTCTGCGATAGGAGCGGCAAAGAAACTTCATCTTGTAACTGAACAAGGATCTAAAGGTAAGAAGCGAGCTGAAATCAATAAGGAGCAAACAAATGAGAACATGAAGGATAAACCCAATAATATAGAAGCCATGAGTGGAGCAGAGCAAGTGAGTACGAAACAGCAAGCTATGGAAGTAATTGAGAAACCAAGAGCAAAAATTGAGAGTCAAAATGACAATGGAACAGTGATTAGGACTGAGGCACTACCTGCAAAGACAAATCAGCCAACTCAACCATGGGTGAACCTATTTGCATTGCAAGCAGATGAAAATGGTATGGCTTTATCCTACATCCCTCCTGCAGTTGTTAATGGTCAAATGGTAATTCAATTCGACAAAGATGAAGTTGAAGCTGAAATGGAAAAATGGAGAAGAGCCCTAATTGCTTATGTAATAGGAGATATGCCAGGGTATAACTCTATGAGGAGAGAAATTGATTTTAATTGGAGCAATATAGCTTTGTTCATGCATGATGAAGGCTACTATATCATTAAATCCCGGCAGTGGAAGATATGCAAGAGATCCTCTATTCAGGGCCCTATACTATTAACAATAGACTCATTATCCTAAAGCCTTGGACAGCGGATTTTAATTTCAATGAAGAATTTCCGACAAATACCATGAACTGCTGGGGGCATAAATCTTTGAGCATGACTGCGCTAGGAATTCCAATGTGTGCTTATGAGTACACAGCAAAGCAGAAAAGAGTGTCCTATGCAATAATACTGATAGAAATTAATGTTACAACGACTTTACCTGATGAATTTACGGTAATGGATCCAAATGGAAGAACATTTCAACATGCCATCTTGTATGATTGGAAACAATTATTCTGTGAAAAATGCCAAGTAATTGGCCAGCTGGAAAAAAAGGAAAAGGAACTTCAGTAGGAACAAGCAAGAAGAAGGAGAGGTCCAAAGAGAATAGTGCAACAATGGGTGTCAAGGAATGCAGGAATTAGTGAGCACGCAGGCCCTAGTCAAATGCAAGAGCAACAATCTGTCCAACAGGCATGGATGGCAAACCGTGCGGCTACGAGGCAAACCTGCGTAAACCCGCAAGGATTTCGACCCGCCCCGCCCCGCACCATCCCGCATAGCATTTTCACCCACGTCCACCCTGCCCCGCATAACCTTTTTCTTCATTTTTTTAGTTTTTTTTCTTTTGAGATTTTGGATGGAATTTTCAGTTTAATAAAAATAGATGCAAGATCTTTTGTTGATCATGTACTGAATTAGTCAATTAGAAAAAAAATTAATTTTTGTTGTTCATTGTAAAAACCGCAAATCTCCCTTTTAATGTATTATTATTCATTGTAAAGTAGTATATTACATTATTACTGTTTCTATTGATATTAACTCTCTATATTATTCTACCCTTTTTCCACCTCTTTATTTTATCATTCACGATATATTAATTTTTGCTCTAATCTGATCACGAAATTGCAAGCAAGTATTGTACTCGGTGTCTATACACATTGAATAATGAAAAAAAGCCGTTTAAAAAATATAAAACTCAAGAAGAACCAATGGTTTCATACACTTCTTTCATTTACTGAATGTGGTGTTAAAAAATTAATATTGTAATCATTGGCTGAAAAAAGTTTCGAAATGTTTTCACTAATGAACTCCATTTCTCTAAGATAATTTGAAATACAAAATTTGGTTGAGAATTTTGAATAGCTTTTACTATTTTGATTAGAAAGTTTACCACATTTTTAGAGCCCGTTTGGATTGGCTTGTTTTAAGTGCTTTTAAGCTAAAATAGTTTTTAAGTCATTTTGTAGTGTTTGGATAAAGTAAAAGAGTGTTTTTAAGCACTTGTTTTTAAGCTAAAATGACAAAAACAAGCCAAAAGCTAAAAGTTAGAATTACTAACTTATGACTTAAAAGCTATTTTGGCTTATAAGTTATTTGAAACAAGCCCATCCAAACGGGCTCTTAATCTTATATCTAGTTTTTGTATTGCTGGATAATTTGCAGAATAGGCCAACCAAAAAAGTTGCTTAAACCCGCGTAAACCGGCATAGACCCATAACCCACTCCGCCCCGCTCCGCATCTGTTTTTTTTTTTTTTTTTTAAATTACCTCAACCCACCCCGCACTGCATAGCTTTAAACTCCCACTGCACCACACTCGCACCACCCCATTTTCCATCAGACAGATGGCCAAGGTCAGCTGCAACAAGGCATTGATCCTTCACATAAACAACAACAAAGGGTGCTACCATTAAATACAAGTCCACAAAGTTCCACAAATATGATAAGTAGCGGAAAGAAGTGCAAGCAAGCCCAAAACTGAATGATAGCAACTTCAATGTGCTCAGTTCAGTGAAAACCAAAAACACTTTTGGAATATTGCGTGGTAGGATGGGTGGATCTCAAGCAATACCTTCTGATGGAGGGAGTGTGATTATCATGCCTCAATAACTTGGCTATTTTGGAATGGGAGGGGAGAAAATAAGAGATATAAACAAAAGTAACTGAGACACTATTTTTCAGAACAAAAAAAAAATAACTCTAGTTGGATTGATTGAAACAAGAGTTAAAAAGCATAAAGCTGGGAAAATTACTAGGGAGATCACCATTGGATGGGGACTACTGACTAATTATCAAATTGCTAGCAATTGCAGGATTTGGATTATGTGGGACACAAGAAGATATATAGTAGACAAGATTAAGGAGACCTCTCAAATGATTCATCGTCAGGTTAAAGGCATGAATGATGGAATTGATTGTATGTTATCTATCATCTATGGTTTCAATAAGGAAACCTCTCAAATGATTCATTGTCAGGTTAAAGGCATGAATGGTGGAATTGACTGTATGTTATCTATCATCTATGGATACAATACATGTGAACAAAGAAAAGACCTTTGGGAGGCTTTGAAAGAAGTGGCGCAAGGAGTATCTGTACCTTGGCTTATTTGTGAAGATTTCGATGAATCTTGACCAGATTGGACATCAGTTTTTGAAGTATAATCTTTTTCTCATACTTTGAAGGAAATGATAAAAGACATAAGTTAAAGAAAGATCAGTGGTCATATAATATTCCACTAGTCCGGATATTCTCATCTTTCCAGAGTCAAATGTGCGTGATTTGCTGATAATTAGAATATTTGTCGTTTCAGTTAGGTATTTAACAGTATTGTCAAACATAATTTTGGTCAATGGGATTTTTTTTCCTACTTTTTCTAGGTTGTGATAATAAAATCGATGGCAAAAGGCAAATCACAACAGGAACTTTGAGCTATGCAGAATCTACTGTCTTTTTTTACCCTGCAAATAGAAGGCGATCTCATAGGATTTTAGGACTCATCGGTAAAAATCTCTATGTAATAAAAGGAAAGGCGGAGCCATCATATTAAGTGTACGTAGTTTATTATTTAATTAGATAATTTGTCCGCGCTTCGCACAGTCATAATAAACCTTTTTAAATTTATGAAATATATCATTTAGTTTTAACAGCGGATATCGAAGACATAAAGTCTTTAGCAGAATGATAAAGGCATCTTCGTTGAACCAATTGAACATCCATTTGAAACGGTAACAAAAATTTTGACTTTGAGAATTAACTAAGTCACTATTATATCATATTAGGAAGTACACGCTGAAGAATCAAGTATAGCGTAAATGATACCTTAGTGATTTAGACGGTCTGCTAATCGGTTTGATCTTTCAACATATTTGTAATAAAAGTGACAATTGGAGGGGTAATGCAGTTAAAATGAATATAAGAGCAGCAAAATTCACCCTTTTGCCATATGAGTTCAATGTTTAGTGTAAATGGAAATCATGAAAATTGTATATTCTTTCCGGGAATGTTAACTGATGAATAATATACAGTCACTGATCAAAAAAGAATGATACGTATTTGCTTGGATTATGAGATGATTATAACTTTTCTCGCAACACCTTCCTCACTTTAGTACTAACTTGATAATTTAGAGTTTGTTTCAATGGTAATATATGTATTTTCTTCCAACAAAAGTTACAAGACTTCACCGTTTCTTATCACACATTTTGTAAACTATTTATAGTCTCCGTAATTGTTACTGCATGATTATTTCCCAATTCGCCAGTGTCTCACGGTTTGTTATTGCTTTGGAGGGATATTATTTGATTGTTCAGTTGTAGCCTGCATAAAAATAATACTTATTTCGTTACTAAGTTGCAGTAATTATGTTACGAAATATCAAGCAAGATTAATAAGACATGGAGACGGTAAGAGGAAGAGTTCTCGATCAACAAATCTAATTTAGGGAAAACCTTGTTAATATATTAAAGGTTTACCTATTGTACTTGATTACATTAATTATCAAGTATGAGGTATCATACTCGATCGAGGGCTTTCCCCCTTGAAATCCTTTAAACTTTTGGGTTCAACTCTCATTATATGGAAGCAATATAAGTCTGAATTCCAACTCATTAGACCAGGCATCAATCAAATGATCCTTGAACTTATACATGAAATGGAAATAGTAATAACTTTTCTCACTCGCTACGAACAGAGCAAAGAGTTATTCAAACGACAAGGTCTAAAAGTATGTTGGAGGAAACTAACATAAAACCTATGAGATCTATAATAATAAAGAAAGCTTACATAATATTAAATTGATAGACTAAGAATAGAGATATCAACACCGTCCCCGCTACTGTCAAAATAAACTCGAAACACCAAGTGAGGAAACACACATAGAGATGAGAATAAAATCATGTACAGAGCAAATCCAGAAGAGATAAATAATTTAAAAAATGGTTAGTTATTTGATGATAATGAAATGTTTTGAGAAATAGATTGAAAAGTGTATTTTGCTACATTTCTATCAAGGCTTTTGTACTGCTGTTGAAGATCATAAGAAACCTATGTCTTTTCCCACTTTAAGTATCCAATCTATTATCTTTGAAACCCATATTGGATCCTTTTTTACCTACCCCCTCCCCTCTCCCTCCCCGCCACTTCATTTTCTTCATCCAACTTTTCTATAATTAGTCACTCTTTGGATTATTGCCTGAAGAAGAAAAGCGGAAATATGTATCATTAAGATAGCTACTATTAGTCACAAGTTTATGTTAGTGTATAAGCGATACATATTCGGGCAGTAGACACGATAATTAAATAAAAGTAAATGCTGATACAAAAATTAACTAAGAAGGAAAAGAGGTGAAGGAAGACATTACCAAGTAATGATAATAGTGGTTGATCTTTTACTTTGGAAAAAAAAATTCTCTTCTCTTTTGTGATTGAAGCACCAACAAAGTGAAGCCAAGTGATGAAAAGCTTGATTTTTTTGTTACTAACACATACTGAAATCAGAATCAAAAATTATTTTCCCAATTAAAAGAAAATCAAGAGAGCAAAAAAATGAAGAACATCGAATTTAAAGCAAAAATTTTGGGTCCGTAAAATCTGAAATATACACCTCCAGTTTTTGATATTTTTTAAAAAAGGAAAAAAATTTACCAGCCCTTTTTGTCGCTTAAGTTACCAACTTGGATGGCAACTATTGGACTTCAATTTAGATCACCACATGTGATACAATTTTGATATTGGTGTGATGGATTTCCAGTGGTTGGTTTTTTCCCATGGAAGAGAAGAGAGAGTAGAATCAAAAACAGTGTATTTTAGAAACTGTCGGGAACAATCATAAGTGGAAACGTTTGGGTTTCCCAAATAATTAACCGCTGACTTTTACAAACATAAAAGGGAAAAAATAGTAGGAAGTACTAAAAAATTGAGAGGAAAGAAAAAGGCAATCCCCGTGCATTGAGAAATGCCACGTAACCGGCCGTAGACCTATGAATTATACATATATTAGTGTATTTGTTTGCGCTTCGCGCGATTATAAGAAAAAAGTCAAAATAAGGTCATATAATTCATAATTCTACATAAAGAAAAATCAATCTTTAACATACATCCTACATGAAATTCTTTGATAGAGGAATATTTCTCAAAGTTCCAGACTAAACTTGATTTTCCATTTGAATTAGTATGCGTGAACATGACCAAGAAAAGAGGAAATAAAAAAAATAACTATAAAAAAAAGTAATGGGAATATATCAGAAATGTAAATAGAGCAAGTTACATATTTG